TTTTTTTTTTCCTGAAACTTTCTTGATTATTTGGTGGTGGCAACCGCACCAAATGTTTCTGGGACAAATTAGAGGCATTAGTGATGAGTTTTTCCTGTGTGAAGGAAGTCCTGACCTGTTACAAAGTATCTGGTTAGTATTTGTATTTGGTTAGCATCTGCAAAGGTGCTGAATTTGTTGAATAGGGATGAAAAATAATGTCTAAAAAAGGCTGGAAAGTACAAAGGTGACAAACCTTTTAATAAATTCAGATGATTTAATATCTAGGGAACAAATAACTGCAGAGAGGCAAAACCTCTATCTTCATTAAAAACCTGACACCTCTTCTGCACCATCTCAACAGGGACCTGTCTCTTGTCCATCATTTTAATGTCGAAGTGCTTCCATTTTTAATGCATTTCTCACAGCACTGCTTGAGGTAGATAAGTATTATCAGGCAATTAAACCAATGAACAAGAAATCTACTCAATCTACCACCCCACCACTAAAACGACTCTATAGCACTCGTGGCTTCTGGATCTTGACCAGGGTTGTTGGTTGGCTTCCAGCGCTGAGACAGGGCATGGCTTGGTTTTGTACAGTTCTGATGAGTAAACATTTCTATACTACTGGCTTTTGATCTTTTTTCTAACATTCTTGGCATGCAATTTTGAAGAGAAAATTTGTTTCTTCCTCAGTAATACACAAGAGGTCAATGCTGAAGGGACTTAGCACCTTATCCTAAAACAAAAGGGTTGAGTTTGTTGTTACTGTTGCATACTACTGTCGCATATGGAAACAAAATCTTCTGAATCCTAATTGAAAACATCCCATGTGCTCCATGTGGTCTCCTGGAAAGGACACGGCCCTGTAAAACCACACATTGTAGACTTACTTCCTTTGTGCTACAAACCAGAATTGTGGTGCTTGTTAGCCAAATCCTGTTGGGAACGGTGAGGAGAGACATATGTAGCCTTTGCTAATATGTTAGTAGCCCTAGTACTTTAAATTTTATTAAAGAGACATCTTTTATTTTCAAACCCATGCAGTAGATGCAGACGTTAAGTGGACTTCAAATCACAAAATGGTTGAGCTTGGAAGGGACCTCTGGAGGTCATCTGGTCCAGCTTCCCCATGCCCAGGCAAGGCCACCTAATGCCAGTTGCCCAGGACCATGTCCACACAGCTTCTGAGTATCTCCAAGGATGGAGAACCCACAAATCTGGGCATTCTGCACCAGTGCTTGGTCACCCTCACAGTGCAAAATGTTTCCTGATGGTCAGAGGGAACCTCCTGATTGAGCTTGTGTCCATTGCCTCTGGTCCTGTCACTGGGCACCACTGGAAAGAGCCTGCTCTGTCCTCTTTTCACCTTCCCTTCAGTTATTTACATATATTGATCAGATCCCTCTGACCCTTCTTTTTTTTAGGCTGAAGAGTCCCAGCTCTCCCAGACTTTCCTCACAGGAGAGATGCTCTAGTACATTTGTCATTTTTAGTGGTCCTTTGCTGGACTTTATCCAGCAACTTTATCTCTCTTGTACTGAGGAGCCCAGAACTGGACACAGTTGGGAAAAAAAGGTTACATATTCCTAACAGTCATTTCCTCAGCAGGCATAAAGTGATTTCCTGCCCCCATCTTTTTTGGATCATGCACAATCACTTTTGTGCATCCAGCCATCCACCTTCTTATCAGCAACCAACCCCACGCGGAGAGAACACATCCCTCCTTTTCCGAGAAGCGGAGATAGGAACGCCACCCTCGCGGGCAAAGCGCTGCTGTCGCTTCTGACGTGCCAAGAGTCAACGTGCTGACATTCAGGTGATGGCCTCAAGTTCAAGAGGATGAGGTGGGGATGTCACTTGGGCTCTCCTCCTAAAGAGGATCTGCAGACAAGAGTGCCAACAGCTGAGCACACAAATGTCACCGTTCCAGATTATTCTCTGTTACGCCGGCTGACCTTTAGCCCTATGTACTACCCTGCCTCAACCACGATGCTGGTCTCCTGCAGGCAGGAGGACCATCATTGCAAGCACTTGCCCACATACTTTTCTCTTTGCTTAAGTATTTTCAGCTTAAAAAGACTGAAGTTTGGGGCTCAGCTTGATCTTCCTTCAGCCACCCAGAACACAAGTGGCTCAAGTCAGCTGCTCAGGTGTAACAATGTGACCAGTGTCTGCCTGGTCACCTGCATAACTGGTACGGATACCGCTCATTTTAAAGCCAAGAATGGCAAAGGGATGCTCTCAAGAAGACTATTTCTTCCCCCGAGAGAACACCAGCTAAGAGAGAAATGAAAATCAGTTTTTCTGAAGGTGAAGAGCAGAGGAAGGCCGGCATTGTTCGTATGCCCCTCGGCACAGCGGGAGGCAGCGCTCAAAGCCCGCTGCTGCGCTTCGGCCGCCCTGGGGAAAGCGGACTCTGCTTTGTTGGAGAGTGGGGGCTGCGTGTCAGGGGTGCTGCATAGTTTTACATCACTACCAAAAGATCCCCTTCCCCCCACAATAATGCAATTCATAAGAATAGCTCAGATTTGTTATTCAGCAACTAAAATGGAAAGAAAAGGACTGGGAAACAGTGGTGTCTTTTTGTGCAGACCTAGAAAGCCGCAGAAACTGGGATTATTATCCTAAAATCGCAGGACAGGCAGGCAGGCATTTTAACTCTCCCAGCGTCAAATCCTTCTTGCTGCTTTTGGGAGGTAAAGGAATTATTGTTTGAATTAGGAGACACCTATTCTCCCTTCATATCTCTACATTATCAATATTAAGGTCATATAAAGTCATTCCCTTTCCCTCTCAGCTTCACTTGCAGCTTAGGGCATTTTCTAAGCCCAGACCATTTTGGCCTGAGACTGCAAGATAATGGGATGTTCAGCATAAATTCAGAGAACGTTGCAGGTAGTTCAGTCAGAAAGAACAGCAAGGGACATTGCGCAAAATGCATCTGTATGCCCAACATCCATCCATAAGCAATGCTGAAACCACAACTCCTTGGAAAAGAAAGGGGGGGATGTGGCCAAGAGTTTACTGTAGAGCACTCCAAACACAACTCTGCTCCCACATTTAGCCTTCTTTGGAGTCAGTTCCTCATCTTTGTTTGAACATTACACATTCAAAAGGACAACGTGTTGGCCCAGGGGCAGATCCTCACCTCGCTGACTCCACCGCTCCACCAGTGTAAGGACAATTCACGCTGGAGCCCCAGGTTTGTGGCAACCACTACATCTCCTCAGGAACAGAGGGCTGAGCAGCAATTCAAGTTTACTTTGGTGCTCCCATGTTTCTGCTACCATAAGAGATACTCTGCACAGCAAAGCAAGTTGGGTCTTTGGACAGAAGGCCCTGAGCCCAAGGTAACGTGGGACAGCGTAATCTGGCAAAATTTCGTACATCTTCTCCAGCTGGAATGAAATACTGGCAGGCAACTTGCTCATCTTGCATAGCTTCGTCAGCCAAGATCACTTCAATCATCGGAAAACATGCACAAGGTGTAATGAAAAGCCTTCCAAGAGGAAACAAGCATCTGGCTTCCAGGAGACAAAGTGGGAGGACACAGAAAACAATCAACACACAAGCTGGAAAAAGAACTTTTTTTAGTACTATGTGAGTTACATTTTAAAATATGCTGCCTCTAGGGGAACCAACAACAGGAAAGCCAAGGTGGCATCATTTCAGAGAACATGATTGCAAAATGATGAAGCACAGTTTATAGGATGTTTGAAAAGAGAATTTTCCCTGAAAATAGGTCACAGTCCTCTGACACGCACACCAAAGTCCACTCACCCCTTACTGCAGCAGCTCACCGGTCTGGAATTAACGCCCTGGATTGTGTCAACCTTTTTGTTCCCTCACAAGTGAATTACTGCTGGGCAGACAAAGGAGAAGCTTTATTTCCTTTTGGCATTATCACTCAAGAAAACCCACAAAAGCTTCTCTAAGCAGCAACGTGCTCGGTAGTGGTAAATATCGTGGTCTCCACCATTTTAGGGAGGAAAAGTCCAAAATGGGACAAGGCTGAGCATCACTGACAGGCTGTTGCAGCAGCTACAGAGCACGAGGTCTGCTCCAAACAGGAGATACAGGAAAGCCCCAGGTCTGCTCTGCAATTCTACTCTCTGCACCAGTTTCTTTGAAACACATCAGCAATAGTGTGCTAAAATGTGAAACAGATTAAAGGAACAGAGCTCACTCTTCAGAGAAGATCTCTTTGGGAAAAGGGGCACTTTTTTGTTTATTCACCTTGGCAAAGTCCTTCCAAAAAGCTAATTTGGATCGATCCAGGTTTTAAAATACTTTTTATTTTTAAAAGAAACCATAAAATATGACAACAGGACAATGGGCTTCATTCAGCAATATCAGTTTCTGGTCCGTAGAGGAAATTAATTAAAAAACATCAGCATTTTAAAAAATAAATATGACTAACTATATGGAAAACAGGAAAATCAAATTCATCTTCAACAACACAGACAGGTATAGATGCTGAAATGTTGGTGCGCAAGGTAGAGGTAGAGGTAAACCAGACTTTTCAGACCTAGACCAGTTTTAGATCTGTCCTTCCTTGCCCCCCACACATGCTCCCCAGAAGTTCCTGTTGTTGAATCAGCCTGTCAGCTTCATCAAACTCAAACAGGTCTGTGTGCTCCTCATAATGCTCTGAGCTGGAAAACTATTTCAGCTTTTGTAGAAATTAGTTGCTAAGCAACCCAGCCCCTTGGTTTTTCGACTTGTGCAGCAAGGAAAGAGGCAGGAACCTGGATTTTAGCTCCTAGAAACCAATACAGTACTCTCTGGGTGATGTCCGCTCAGACAGGCAGATGGTAGAGCCCTTTTAGGAATTGCAGTAGCCCATCAGCTCCTCAGGGATGCACCCAGAGAACATGCAACACCACACCTGGAATTCCTCCACTGAAGAGATCACGGTCAGAAGAAACATCCCAAATCAACAGGTACTTGCCGCAGGGAGAGCCGATTGCCTTTTCCGGTATGTCGATACGAAAACTCACGCGGTAGGACACAACCCAAGAACCCTCCATACAAAGCAGCAAGTATCTTGACATAGTGAAATATAAAAACTAAAAATTGCACCACGCATGGATTCCCCAAACAAACTCAAGACAACCAAAGTCAGATTGTACAAACTGTTAGTTAAAAAAATACCTTCTTGTGTATTTTGAGAATAAGTGGAAAGAGTCTTCGTGCAAATGCTCAGCCTTGATCAAGCAGAGGATGTAAAATCGTTGTAAACGCATTAGTTCCTTTCTCATCTGCCGTATGCACCCAGCGTTATCTATCTTCTGCAGTATGATAGGGTTAGGAAAACTGTTTCTTCTGTAAATACCACCTTTCAAGTTCCACTGATGTACCATCAAGACACTACTGGTGTCATATCCCACAACTGGTAATACAATAAAATAAAAAAACATGGTAAGTAATGGTAAAAGATTATAAAATCTAGTATATTGTCCCTAAATAATTTGCACCTTTTTCTGTTTTTTTTCGCATAAGAGAGGCTACATAGTTAAAGGTGGATGCAGCAGGCCTGAAAAAGTTTTATTTCATTTTCCAGCACTCGTGTCAGACTGGCAAAGGCTGAGAAAGTGACATTCTGCATGTCACTATGCTTCCCCTTATGAGCCCGGTTTGTAGCTGGCCTTCACAGGAACCAAAACAAAAATCCCACTCTGCTGGTAACTTGAATGATTAGCATAGTCATAGCACATTGTCAAGGTTGCGTTGTTTTTTTTTTCCATTATTCAAGCTTTGTTATGACCTTTTTCATTATTTCAGCTATTTCTTTGCTAGCCATGCAACTTGAGATTCACCAAGTTGAAATACAGTTTGTCGTCCCAAAGGAGAAACTACAGTGAGCACTTGTCCTGGCCCCTTCAGGCAATAATTTCACAGACTAAGACCTCCCTGGTCTTCTGCCTCCTTGGACAGAAGTCCATCAGTGAGAAGTCTCTGGGCAGAAGAATGCAGGTAGAACATACAGGAGAGGAAGGGGAAATAAAATAAAGGAGCTAAAGTGAGCCCCTTGCTCCTACCTTAATAATCTTGTCTGTCCCTGAGGTCAACAGCCATCCCCTGGTGGCATCAAAATGTACGTGAACGATGTTGTGCTTACTGTCGTGGAAAGTAGCAGTGGGCGCCCGCCTGAAGAAGGAAATCCAAAAATCAGCAAAGACTGTGACTGCAGGATTTTCCCCCAAAATGTTCTGTATCAAGGAAGTATTTAAATGCTGCTTGAAGTCATTAACTCGGCAACCTCTCCATAAGCTCCACTTTGAGACCTTTCCACCACAAGAGGAGCAGGGGTGGAAGCTTCCCTACCCCTCCCAGTTTGGCAGGCACCACAGAGGCTTATTTTGCCGCAGGAGCGCAGGGACCACTGGGCTGCTCCCTCGCAGAACCTCACACCCACCCAGGCCCTCCCAGATGCAGGAGTTTTGCCCCACTCCAACGCCAGCTAGGCTTAGTGTCCATGCTTACTCTTCATCCGTTATGGACTCGTGGCAGCTGTCGCAGACCCTCACTTCGAACTCAAACCCCATCAGCGGGATGGAGGAGCGCTTGGAGCTGCACTTGCCGCACACGGCTTTCCCACACTTCCGGCAGTGATGCTGTAGGAGACAACATGCGGAAAGACATCTTCAGCCACAAAGCCAGATCACTGCTCGGGTCCCGCTGGCTCTACCATCTCACTCCAGCAAGACCCAGCCGAGGCTGCAGCAGACAGGAAAGTGAATTCCAGGGAAGATGAAGGAAGACAGGCAAGGACTTCAGAATAAATGAGGGAAAAATAAATAAATCTTAGTTTTATCCCCTCCTACACTACCTAGGGCAAGCAGAAGCTGATCACTAGTAAGGACACTGGAAGTGGCAGATGAAGGACTACCCAGGCTCCCTCTCTCAAGCTCCAGAGTGATGCCGCACAACGCCCACTAAACCATCGCTGCCTCCACCAGTTGGCATCCGTGGACGTAGATGTGGGTCAGGGCTTCTACACTGAGTGTAACCAGTGTTACATTTTCATTAGCACAGCTAGAGACAGAGGACAGGACAAAAAACCCAGGAGATGTGTCCCAGTCAGCCAGGCATCTGCTGCAGGGCTGCGAGCTACAGTTACCCCTGTCCCTGGGAGTCTCATTTTGGGGGCGGTAGGGGATGACACCACCACTCAGCAGCAAGTGACACATCAGGACATCTCCAGGTCATGGTAGGACAGTGCGACATTAGCGCAGTGTCATTCTGGAGTCCCATTCCAGCCTCTAAGTATAAACATCTACCACCTAATCATCTCGGTCAAATCCTTTGGCCATTTCCAGCCCCAGAACCACGAGTGTTTCTGCATTTTGATGCCACTCACCTCATGTTTTCCACGGGCTGTGTAAGAGAGCCCCATACACCTGACTTCTCTGAGCCCCATGAGAACATCCCTCTCAGCGTTTTTATGCCCCTCTCTCAAAAGTCAGCGATCCACAGCCCTCTCCTGCTGGGCAGGAAAACGTGGCAGCGTGTTCCAAGCAGACCAGAAAGCCATTTTTCCAACACAGCCTGAGCAGTTACAGATGTTTACCCAAACTCATTGAAAACAGCTTTGGTTCCAGCACAGTCTCCAAAAATCAGCTGCAAATTTCTTTCTACAACACATTCAACTAACAATAAGCAAAATCCCACAGGGCTAAAGCCATGGAAGGCCCCAAAACAATTTCCTCAGCCCAAGGCCTATTACATGCATTTGCTATTGCGACTAGCTGAAAACAAACAAACAAACAGAACAACAACAACAACAAAAAACAGAAGGAAAAATAAGTGTGTTCTTCTCAACCACAAACCCAAACCTCACCAGCAGGGAGCCCACTGTCCCACTATCGAGCACTCAGTGGAAGAACAAAGTGCAAGTTCTCAAGGTTTTAGAAGAAAAAAGGTAACCATGATCTATTATGAGAGAAAAGCCTAATCCCACCATGTTAGCACAGCACCAAAGGACACATACAAACCTGCCTGAGGCCTATTTTCTTACTGTCCCACATTTGCTTGAAGTTCCAGAAGAAAGGCTGGTCACATTTTTGACAGGAGTCACTATCTAGCCACTCGGGGGTCTGCAACACACACGCATACACAAAAAAAGGCAAAGTGGGAGTGAGCAACAAACAGAAAAACTAGAGACAGGACAAGAAAGATGTATTGGGCCCATTAAATTTGATTAAAAACACCCATTTTCACAAGATGCCACTTCGACTGTTCCCTGGAATGTTTTTTTGCTCAGCTGTGAGCCTTGAAGGACAAGGGAGGAACACTTCTCACCCAAACATGAAGCAGAGTTTGATTATATGACCATAAAAATAACCTAGGAACAAACAAGCCTCCCCCATCTCTCCAAGTTTGAAATTAAGCATATAAAAATATTCTGTCCTGCCTGGGCAGCATTTACCATCTGCTATTGCCTCTGGTGGGAACTGGGGGCAATTAATATTTCCAATAGCCGAGCTACTCATCTGGAGGGGAGGGAAAAGTATCTGAAATATCACTGTGGGGTTGTTTGTTTTAATTAGTTCCTTCTGCCTTTAATATTACAAGAGGCATTCATGCTGTCAGAGGTATCTGTGCTACAAATCACACACAGGGGTGAAAAAACAAGCCTAAGACCCAAACCAGCTTTTACCCCTGTTTTTCCAGAGGGACAAAGGAAGGGAGGTCTTCTACTTTGCAATACAGCATGTAACCTTGCACTCATGCTGGAGATGAAGTAGATAAGAAGATTTAAACAAAAGAAATAAAATATTACAGGAACTTCTCTCTCCTTCAGCCAGGTTTTGCAGTGCAGAGTAGCATGGATCAGACACCCTGTAGGGAAGCGAGACTTGCCGGATCCTGAAAGAGCTCACAATCTGCCTGAAGCAGGAGAGGCGTGCTTGGAGGGGGCAGTGGATCTTCTCCCCTACATTTGGGTCCCCCAACACCGAGGTGCTGGGGGACACGGTGATAAACCTTCTGGGGAATGTGAGACTAAGAAAGAGTCTTTGTTCCTGACCCTAACACTTAATACTCTTTAATACTCTGCGAGGAAGTGCTATTAGCAAACTGTGGTCATCTTATTAGAGCCACCGGCTTCTCACTGCTGCAATGTAAAATGGCAAGGAGCACATCTGAGACTGAGAATTAAAAACAATATAAAAGCTTGGCAAAGGTAAGGTAAGGCTGATGGAAACTATCAGCGCCCAGGATAGCTCTGACCCCTAGAAATAAAGCAACCGCCTCCTTCAGCTTCTTCTCCCAGTTACTCTGAAGGCAGCTCATTCTGCTGGGGTAAATCTTCGGGTTTTCTAACCACAATAGTTTTTCTGTGTAATGCCTGCAGATTTACATCTGCCTGTATAGCTTTTAACCTCTCGAGCATCTGAACACAAAGAAGAAATTTTGCATGTGATAAGTAACTGCTTTGTAGTCAAACAGAAATACAGCTTTTAGCATCTTTCAGATCTCTTCATAACAGCTTTTTTAAAAAGGAGATTAAAATTAAAAATCAAGGGCTAAGTTGGCTTAATTCACTCTAATGCAATCTCAGATGTGGGGAAATTTGACAGCATCAAAGTGAGTACTGAGCACACATCACATGGAGAAAACCCTTCAATAAGGGCAAAAATACCAAAGCCAAAATCCAGAAGAGAATGCTCTTAGGACCCCAACCCAAGGTTCACTATTAAAAGTCTCAAAGGTTTATGTTTCAGGAGTGGTTTAGCACCACGAACACCCTGTTGTTCTACTAGAACAAGAACAAGCCCACATAGCCGTAGTCAGAGAAAGCAGTGCAGTCACTAGCACCTGCTGCCAAGCCCTCATTTAGCTAATTATATTTCTCCTCCACTTTTTAAACCAGCCTTCTCACAGCATTTCTGCCTGGGTTGTGACAAGCCACCCTTAATCCTTACTGTAGCATGTAGAAGGCAGCAAATAAGTAAAAGTTTTCATTTCTGGATGTTTGAGTTGCAGCAAAAAGGAAACCTCTGCTGGGAAGGAAGAAGCTGCTCTGCTTTGGTTTCACTTTTGGAGCTGATGACATAATTGGCCATTAGATTAGCAATTAAAGAGAACCAACTGGAATGCTAATTCACAATAAAAAAGGAGCTTCCTGGCTAGGCCTATTTCAGTAGGGTTTTTTTAAATCCAATTTTCCACTTAGCTTTCCTCCTTGCTCCAGAGAAACGTACGCAACCTGGGGAGGCCAAAACCCTTGAGATCCAGCAAAGCTGGGGAAAACCCCCACTGGCAAAAGCCTTGCCCAGGCCAACCCGTTTCGGGAACAGGGTGGAGGTTTGCCGTGACTCATCTTACCAGGATTTGCCACCAAGCAGGGCTGACGCCTGAGTCACTCCGCGCAGCGCTCGCTCCCTCGCTCTGAGTCAGGTCTCAGAAATTGCCGAGCGGAGGCTGCTCCCACAGCGCCAAAGACCCGGGGTGCGTTTTCGCACCCGCTTTACATTTATCGGCTGCGCAGCACAAAAGCAATTAGGAGCGCGTGGGTGAAACCTTACTGTCTGGATTGGCAAAGTCATCGTTTACCCATCATGGTTACACTGAAGGGAAACGAGACCGAGTAGCGGGTGAGATTGGAGCACCAGTTAAATGTCTTTTTAGCAAGAATAGGAAAAAATATCTGGGTTGTAGGTTTCCAGAGGCGACAAAGAGCTTTCTTGTTTTGTTTTCTTAAAAACCCCTAATAATTATCAATCCATCCATTTACTTCTGAAGTGATAATATTTCTCATGATGTGCTGAAAAACAAAGCAGAGCATCTCACAGTACCCGCCTCAGAGGACATCTTTCAGAGCAGTAACGTAAAGGGTAAGAGCCATTTAGCAGCCTCCTTAATACACGTTTTCTGCCAGACAATTTCCCCTGTACCATATTATCAAAGGCACAGCAAAATTGCTGTATAACAACTGGAGCATGTCCAAAAACATTTTTAAAGCCTGGAATGATTTTGTTCAGGTTGAAAGTTGCACATTTTAGAAAGGCCTCTTCTTCTCAAGACTGTTCCAGAACAAACTGACATGAACTGAGCATCTACCTCCTGCCTCTCAACATCCATGTTCCAAACGACGATTCCCCCATCTGCACCACAGGAGATGAGCTGCCGAGTGTGGTGAGCATAGGAGAGAGACTGAACTTTATCACTGAAAAGAAAATAAGACAGTTAGCAATCGACCATCTATGGCCAGTATACAAGTAAGTGTAGAACATACCATAAATCAGTACAAACTACCCATGTGTTTCCTTTCACCCCCTCACTGTACATGGCATCCATCGGTCCCCAGATGGGACCAGAACCAGTGTTGCTCATCTGGACAGCATCCTCAAAAGCAAAACCCTGTCTGGATAACTGTTTTTGCTGTTGCTGGGATAGAAGCTCCCAGCTTGCACAGGGAAGCCTGAACAGAGCTGCAGCTCCAGGCGTCTCTGAAGGCACGCCTGGATCCATTACCATAGCCCCAGTAGCGTTCCTTCTCGTCAAAAAGTCAGTAACAGCTTTGTTTTTGTAAATCTCTACAACATCTAGGAATGAAGCACTGAGGAACTACTGAAGATTTCATTTTAGCACTAACAAGCACAGAGAGTTTAAAAAATAATACAGGAATCACCCTGAGAAGTCGTAGGAACAGTTTAGTACAGTAGAACGTTTAGGTGCTTCTGGTTCTTATTTTAAGGGAAAAACACCATGGGACAAATAATTCGGCTTAAACCCCCAGAGCTCTGCTCATTCCTTCATAAAAGACAGAAAACCAGGCCTCATCTCAAGTTATTTACAACCTGGGAACCAAAGAGCACACAATACTTTTACGAAAAATGCAAAGTTACGAAGAGACAGCAACTGAGCATACACTGACTGGAAATAACCCACAACATTTGCTTTTCTTTGCTACCACCACTGGTCTCATCTACCCAGAGGACTTTCATGCTCACGTCCACAGGACAGTTTGGTACCACAGAGCTGCCTCCACAGAGCCCACCTGCCAACACCAGTGGCACCATCAGGTGAAACATTTCTTAGTCCCTGTTGTCATTAGAACCAGGACTCGCTGCTGTATGGTGCAGCCAGCAGCTATGCCATCAACTAAGATCCAGACACTAACTTTGTATTAGGAGAATTAATTTCCAGAGAAATTAATCTAGCAACGGTGCATTAGCAAGCACCATTAGCAGGGTACAAGGGTGATCTGGGAATTTTGGCAACAGCTCTGCAGTGCTCTGAAATCCCAGTGGCATCCAAATCACTCAGCAAAGTGCAGTGTCACTCAAAAGAAATGTATGAACAGGTAGGAAACTGTTAGACTAAAACCACCATGGGATTTTGTCTCTCCAGGCCGGAAACTAATTTGCTGCATTGCCAGTGTTAAAAGGCGAGGAGGTCATTGCAGATAGAGCCATTCCATCTCTACTCAACACCCAGAACAGGCTTACTCTTCTTCTAAGACATCTACTATCGCTATGCAAATGTGAGGCCTGTACGGGCAAAGACAAAGTCTCTTTGCATGGAGGAGATGGTGAAGGACCCTATGGGTAAAGCACACAACTTAGATTTCAGGCTGTAGGTACAGCGGCACAGAAAAAAGTTAGCGTGGAGAAAAAAGGGATCAATTGTCCAAGCCTGATGCTCCCCCTAGGGGAAGGAAAGACCTTGACACCCAAAAAGCAAAAATTTACCTGAAGCCATTCTCGTTAGGGGACCCTCCCCTTTCCAACAAAGACGCAACTACCAGCGTAACACCTTCAGGACTATAGATAATGTGCTTTCCTTCACCGCCCTTTGCAGACTCTCAAACCGGCCTGTGGGCCCAATGCTGAAAAACTTACTATAAGCAACTTATTCCAGTTGTATATGGACCACAGAGAGTCACACATAAAAGCTTGAGGCTGTTTTTTTTCCAGATATGGTTTCTGCCTTTAGCTTATCTCCCATAAAAGCAGGAGGAAGGGCTTTGAACGTACTTATGTCCTTGCAGCTCGATGGCTGTTCCTTTTCTTCCTCCAATATCCCACATTATAATGGAATGATCAGAACTGCCTGAGAATAAAACTCGCTGTATTGGGTCCCAACAGAGAGCAGTGACACCACCTGAAACAGGAGATGCACACAACAGTCATTTCATTACAGAAAGTGGAAGACGGGAAAGTAGATGGGAAAGTAAATACACTAAAAAAATACAGAGAAACGGTGATTAAAATGCAGGTCTCTCTAGCAAAGGCCATGCAGCCACTGTGCTTGCGAGTTGAAAACAGCTTAGAAAACCTGCTGAAACCCCAACTGCTCTTCTGTGGGCAGAGGACTCTGCTGCCGCTCACATGGGTGAATCCACTGAGCAGTAAAGCATGTTAGAAGGACAGTCACGGTGTGACTACACAGCTTTTCATCTCCATCATTCCCAGGGGATTACAAAAGAGAAGGAAGTGTGAAGTATTACAGGTATCTTCACAGTATCCCAGCATAAGGACTAAACTACCTTGTGCTACCTCATGATTGAGCTATTTGCATTATCAGAGAGAAGGGATAGGGAGAGAAAATGCTGAGGAATGACCACCGTTTCTTCTGTTGGATATCAGGATCACATCCCAGGGTTGCTGGTTTTAAAGTGTGATGGGGCACAAGGCCCAGCAGTGAAATAAGCACTTAGTGCCTCCAAGATGTGCCTATCTCAGTCTGGAAAAAATGTCTACCAGCACGGATCTTTCCTTGAAGAGCATCCTATTCCCTCCCAGAACTACCACAGCTCATTCTAGTCCCACTGCACTTTGATTAACAGGTACTGATCGCAGCATTTTCTGCCATAGTTTTCTGACCAGAAGTCTGATAGCTCTTGTTTTTACCAATAAAGAATAAATTTTCCTCAGCTGCAGTGACATTTAAAGGTCTGTGTCCCTTCCATGCTATGCACTGACACAAGTTATCCGTGTTTCACATGAGTCAAACCATCATGACGCTGAGCACAGCTGAAGAACCAGATTGGGTCTCTGCCTGAGGCCTTACCTGTGTGACCCTTAAATGTTGTAACGAGGCTGCAGGACTCTTGCTCTAGCTTGAGTATGGTCACTTGCCCAGAATGATCACCAACAAACACATGCCGGGTTTCCACATCAAATCTGACGGATAAATGCTGAGGAAAATATGTTGCTTATACAAGCTTTGCATTCCTTTCATGACTCGTTAAATCTTTTAACACAAATATACTGCAACCTCATGAACAGCATCCCAGTCTCAAGGAGGCATTCAGAGTGTATTTTTAGGCATCAAGCTCATATCTATTCATATTAATAGTGCAGCCTGCTCGAGTAAACCAAAGAGTGAGAAAAAATGAGACTACTCCAGAGAACTCAATTTGTGGTTTTGATAGGAAACTTCTTCGAGGTAGACCTTTGCCATTGTCTTTCCCTTCCCAAAATTATACAAAATAACTATTACTAGTTTTCTGGTGGCATTTGAGTGGCCAAATTTTGGTAGCAGGGGTGCTAAAGGGGTGACTTCTGTGAGAACATACTAGAAGATTCCCCTGTGTGTGATACAGCCCACGCCAGCCAGCTCAGAGACAGATCTGCTACTCGCCAAGTCCAAGCCCATCAGTGATGGTGGTAGTGCCTCTGTCATAACGTATTTAAGAAGGTGGAAAAACTGCTGGGAAACAGCAACCAGAAGAGAGGATGAAAATATGTGAAAGAAGCAACTCTGCAAACACTAAGGTCAGTGAAGAAGGAGGGAGCGGAGGGGCTACATGTGACAGAGAAGAGATTCCCTTGCAGCCCATGGTGAAGACCATGGTGAGACAGGCTGTCCGCCTGCAGGCCATGGAGGTCCATGGTGAAGCAGATAGCTACACTGCAGTCTGTGGAGGAATCCACGCCAGGGCTGTACTGGCGCAGGCTCCTGGCAGGACCTGTGAACCCATGGACAGAGGAGCCCACAATGGAGCAAGTTTGCTGGCAGGACTTGTGACCTTGAGGCGTGTCCACGTTGGAGCAGTCTGTTTCTGATGGACTGCACCCCATGGAAGGGATGCACGCTGCAGTAGTTCACAAAGAACTCACATGGGAGAAGTTCAGGGAGGACTGTCTCCCATGGCAGGGACCTCACATTGGAGGAGGGAAAATTTGAGGAGTCCTCTCCCTGAGCTGCGGAGACAACGTGTGAGGAATCAACCACAACCCCCATTCCCTGTCCACTGCGCTGCTGGTAGGGAGGGGTAGAGAAAAACAAGAGTGAAGTTAAGCATAGGATTAAAAGAAGAGTGAGAGGAAGGTCTTTGTAAGATTTCCTTTTATTTCTCATTATCCTGCTCTGATTTGATTGATAAAAAATTAAACTAATATCCCAAGTTGAGCCTGTTTAGCTCATGATGGTAATTGCTGTCTCATCTCCCTGTCCTTGACCCATGAGCCTTTCACTATATCGGAACAGGCTGCCCAGGGAAGTGGTGGAGTTGCCATCCTGGAAGTGTTCAAAAATCATGTAGATGTGGAACTCTGGGACATGGTTTAGTGGTCATGGTAGTGTTGGGTAAACCGTTGGACTAGATGATCTTAGAGGTCCAACCTTAATGATTCTATGATTCTACATTTTCTCTCTCCTGTCCAGCTAACAAGGGGTTTGATAGAGCAGCTTTTGTGGGCACCTGGTGTCCAGCCAGGGACAACCCACCACATTGCTGCTTCAGTATAGTTATGTTTACAAATACAACAAAAGGGTATTGTTTTATGTATTGTTTTTACTGGGGAAGCGCGAGCTACATCAGGCGCATCACACATCGTATTCTGAACCGAATGAAATCTGAACCTACATTCAACTACCTACTGGAACCACCTAACTGGACAGATTCTGACCTCTTAATTCAATTTAATTCCACATTCAGAGTCTATACTGTGTATTTAAGGAGAGACTGCTTAACACTGATTTTATGCACACAGGACATTGAGGGAAAAAAACACATTCCTGGTTCTGCCAACCTTTTTGCAATATTTCTGAATGAGTCTCCCTTCTCCTGCCCTCCACTAGCATGATCTGATGACCCAAATTGAAGTGACCTCCAAAATTCTGAATCACTTGAAATGGTCTGTTCTCTAGAGAGAGATTTAGAAAATACAGGGCAAACTCCTGCATCACACTTTCAAAAGTATTTATCTTTTAATCAAAAATTCAGTTCAGTCTTTATGTCATTTAGATTGGCTGAATGACCAGATAATATAAAGCAAGCCCATGGCCAGACAGTAATTCTGAGTCAGTCTCACTTCCCACGAACTAGGAAAACACACATCACCGATACCATGTATGCTATGGGACACTAAAAAGTCTGTTTATGCTAACCCCTGGTTTCAGTCTAAGAGCTCATACTTTCCCACTTCCCTTCTAATTTGCAATAAAGCTGAATTAATATTTCTTTTATAGTCAGGCAGCTGGGGCAGCTCTAGGTGAATAAGCCACTTGAGTGCCATTTCTGGAGCCATTTACTTTTTAGTTAACCCAAATTCCCAATACATGGTGGGCTGTTCCAGACTGAAGGACAAGTACTCATTTTTACGTTAGTCATCTAATTTTTACCCTGCATACACACAGGCATGCTGACTTGATCATCGACCTACTTTGCTACTGTTAATTCTTGGAAGGAAGTGTGTGCTGCATGTTTAAATGAAGGCCTTGTCCATATTTATGACAATAGCAGACCACAATAGGTTGCAGATTACCCACTGTTTTGCTCAAAAATGCTTAGACCTAAATATGCCACCATGCATTAAGGAGACAAAGCAGGGAGTACAGACAGTTTTCTAAATTGGCTTTAAATAACAGTTTCTCTCACAAAGCATTGAATCTGTAGAGGCTCAAAATTTGGAGGACAGCTAGGAAAAAAATCAGCTGAAAGGGCCGTTTGAGTGCTGAAGAGCAGAAATAAACCCAAGTGCTCAGCAAAGGATACTGCAGGCCACAGGCGCCGGCGCTGGTGCGGTACCCTCCC